ACAAAGGAAGGACCATTTTGTATTTGTATATTAGAATAGAGTAGACATACAGCTACATTCTCTTAATTCAATGAATAGAAAGATTTGTTCTGGTAGTATTTGTAAACAGGATATCATGCTGCATCTTGTACAATGAATAACCACTAAGACAGCAATATGCAATGTATTAATTATTCAAACTGTCCTAGTAATTGGATTTGAAACTGTCTCACTGCTATTTGTTTCTAAATAAAATTATTGAAAAAATATTTTAAAAAATAAAACCAAAGGAAAAAAAAAAAAGAAATTATGATTTCTGAGGAGAGGAGTCTTTGAATTCTTTGGATACAATTTATGTTACAAACTGCAAGAAGAATCAGTGAGACAGATTCTTCTTATTTAGCCAATTCCTTCCTCCCTCCCTCCCTCTCTCCCTCCCTCCCTCTTCTTCTTCCTCTCTCCCTTTGTTTAGTCTTTCCTTCTCTCTCTCTCCTCCCTTACTCTCTCCCTTTCTTACTTCCTTTTCTCCTTTCATTTTCTGCCTTCCTCCCTCCGTTTCTCTCCCTCCCTCTTTTTTCCTTCCTTCTTTGGTGGAACCAGGGATTGAACTCAGGCCCTTGCGCTTGCCAGGGAAGCACTTATTCCACTGAGCCATCTCCCCGGCACTCCTTCCTTCTATGATTGTAAGTTATGTCTGTATCACATACCTACTATTTCTTTGAGCTTTGAGTCCACAGATGTCACTTTTTAAAAGAGAGCAATTATTCAATAAACAGTGTATGAGAATATCAAAGAATACTTACCTATGTCACTTAATGACAAATACTTAATGTCAGATTTAATTTTCCCATCAGCATTCTGAGCTTCCACCTCAACACTGCAATTATCTGGAGCTGTTATAATTTCTTGCAAAAAAGAGCATGAAGCCCCTGTAGAACTGTTGGCAGTACATGTGTATCTTTTTCTTCTGTATTGGCTGTGAAGAAAAAATGATTCCCCACAAATTCAGAAATTTGAAACATAGTCACACTTCATACTCCAAACAGTATTCGTTAGTTTTAGTCAGAGTTTCTCCTGAGAACTGAACCATCCAGGATTTGGTTTCTCTTTTCTCCAAGAAAAGGCAAGATTTCTTGCGTCCTTCAAGCCTGAGATGCTGTGAGCCTTACAGACTTCCTAACGGTCCTGAAAGCCCTTGAAAAGCAACATAGAAACATATTTCTTGCTGACAAAAAATAATGGACTAGCCTGTGAAAATCCAGAATATGGCCTTTAGTAGTCCTTTAAAAAAAATCAAAGAGGATTTTTAAAAATAAAGTATGATAGAAATTAAAATAGGATTCAAGACGGTTTTTAATACATCTATGTTTATTGATATGGAAAGATGCTAATATTCTATTATTGGTGAAAAATTCAGAGTGCGTATCATGTACAGAACCATCAGTTCTATCCATGCGTATATGTATGTAACTAGTGATACAAATAAAACGAGAAAGGTCTTTATATAGACTTTACCCTTGTTGCCTTAGATCAGTGATGGCAACCCTCTTAGTGCACACGTACCCAAATGGTAACCCGAGACCCACTTATTTATTGCAAGTGCCAACACTGCCATTATACTTGAATGCTGAGGTTTTAGTCTAGAAAAAACAACTCACACATTAACATATTCTATCTTAAAAGAAAAACAGAGTAACATATATGCCATGTATTCACCATTACTTTCTTTTTTTTTTATATTTGGACTGATTTCTTTTTTTTTCCAAAATTTTATTGATAAACTGCAATGAGACAGTTTCAAATCAAATCGGAAGTACAGTTTCAACAAATAACACACTGCATATATTCTTCTTAGTGGTTAATTGCTGTACAAGATGTGGACTTGTGATCCTATTTACAAACACCATTAGAACAAATCATTCTATTCATTAAGAGAATGTAACTATATATCTATCCTAACCACTTTGAATACACAGATACAAAATGGACATTCGTCGGTATACCCTATTTTTTCTAAGTTCCGTTATTGAATATTATAGGTGTGTAAACTCAGCAAAATATTCTAAAAGAGTCCAGTAGAACCATAACTTTCTTAGATGATGCTTTTTTACTTTGTTTCAGATTAAAGTTTTAAATTGTTGATAGATAATTAGATAGAGACAAACAGAGAGAGACAGACAGACAGACAGACTCTATGAAGTCTCTGACGCTTAGAAGGAGCCAGATGAGTGAATATGGCTATAACCTATATGTTCCTCAGGATTGTGGAAGAGAGAGACCAGAACTAAGAAGGTTCACATGTTAAGGTTCTATGTTTGCTAGAATTAGGGTGGGGGCAGAGCTTAGACATATGCCATCATTAAATCTTGAAACTAGAAATGACCTCAAGAATTTCCAATGGTTACTTCACGGTGCAAAAGTGGCCCCCAGGGTGGTGTTTTTCTGTGATTATAGACGCAGGCTCTGGAGAGAGACCAGGTTCACCCCTGCTACATGATGTGGGCAGGCTCCTCGAATTCTCTTAGTGTTCTAAATGTAAAATGAGGATAGCAATGCACCTACAGCTTCAGGTTTCTCTGACAATGAATGAGCTAATACATGTAAGGCTCTTTTAAAATGTCATATATGCAGAAGTAAATAAATGTGAAATTCTATTACTATTATTCTATGGTTTAATATTTTTTGCATTTATTTATGACTTAACCCCTGAGATAGACCCTTTCTTCCATTTCTACATCTCAAGACCTTTTAAGTCTTATTTTAAGAGCCAAACTTTCCATGAGGATAGTCCCAACTCCTTTTTCTTCCCAAAGAGAAAATCAATTTTCATTGTCTCTGGGTATCAATAGGTGTTTTTGCTTATATCATTGACCCACTAATCATAATCCACACTTATTGTTTACTAGCTATAGATAAAGCCTTCCATTTTTGCCTATAAGAGGTATGCTTTAGGCATAAACCTACAAAACGCAAGCAATCTAGGAATCCTGGAGAACCAAGCAAATTAGAGGCATAAGGGGCCAAGTTATAGGCATTGTAGTACCAAAGCATTTTCTACCTCTACATGTGTATCTGTTGAGCCTTTCCTCACCTGCCCTTCAGGTCTTGAGGGTGGAGTTTCGAGGCCAGCCATAATTGAAGCCTCCATGAGGTTGTATCCACCCATAGCTGAGTTTATTTAAGCTTATCAAGGACAATACTTCTTTAAGGAGGTAAATGGGAAATTTAGAGCAACCTGTGTCTATGCATCTTTTCTCTCAGGAACAAAGATCAGGAAGATTTAGGATCCTGTTAAGTACACTGAGGTCTTTAGAGACTTAGAACTATAAACTATGTTAGAGAGATATAATGTTATGCTTAAATCAAACACTGACTTCTAATTAGAGACAATGGGTACAAACTTGAAACTGTAAGTTTCTGAAGTATATTACTGATAACAGGGAATACTTATCTTCAGAGTGAGTTTAAACAGAGCCCAGCCAGCACTACTGTAGAGGTGACTGGATAAAGAAATTAAAACAACTCAAAGACCTCTGCCCAGGGTCTGTACCCAGAGGCAGTAGATCTCTTTAACATGCTGGGATTTTAGAACTCTGATTCAGAGTAATTCATTAGAAAATAAATCCTAAGGAATATAATCGAAACACTTTTTCTTTTTTTAAATGCATTTTATACAAGGCCTACGGGGTCTCACTACACAAATCGAACTCATAGTGATCCTTCTGTTTTCAGCCTCCCAAGAGGCAGGACTACAGGTGCATGCCACTACACCCAGACTCAGTTGCCATCTCAGTGTGCCCTGGGGGCGGGGCCAGCACAGCACACTGGGGATTGAACCCAGTCCCTACATCTACCTAAGCAGGGGCTTTAATCTGCCGAGCTATCTGGCCAGCCCTCCACACTTTCAATTTTACTGTATTTTTTTGGTTGAATTGTTTTTTAGGGCAGGTTTATTTTTTGGTTTTGGTGCTGAGGACCAAACCCAGGGCTTCCAACTTGCTAGGCAAGCATTTTACCACTGAGCCAAATCCCTGGCCCCTAAGCCAAATCCCCAGCACCCTTATTTTCATTTTCTCTCCCTCTCTCATTCAAAGGACTAAAAAGCAGCCATTCAGGTCCACTGATTAGTTTCATTTTCTATTTGACAATAAAGTTGGAGTCAATCATAACTTTCATCTCTGGAGGCATGTTTTGCTAAGGATTAGAGATCCATCCTGGGAAAGCTCTTGGTCTTGTGTTTCTCCACCTGAGATGGTTTGGATTTAGTTCTTAGCTGAGTCACTGTTTTATCCCTTCTCCACTGCCCTGACCCTGCCAAATAACATGGCTTATAATGGCGTTGATCAAAGGAAATTCCCTCATTGCAGCTGTTGAATTTCAGGACCAAGTTTCCAGAATAGTGAGTTTCCCATCCCTGGGACCCTATCAAAGTGATATTGATCTTCATTTATCTCAGGGCCTTATGCTAAAAACCTCATATGGATTTAATCCTGAAGCTGCCAAAAAATAGATATACAAGTTTTAGCCCAAGTTTATCTGCCTTCTAGTCCTTCAGCAGATCTGAGGACTAACTCTTTTCTCTCCTCTCATAATGATGCTGACCAGTTTTTATACTACAAGGTAAACTTCCTGATGGGTTTATAACACTGGTAAGTTTATCAACAGAACTAAACATTCCTAGCGGACTTGGTCAGATTCTTAAATATCCATTTTAAGTAAGGACGAATACTAAGTACAGTTACAGTCTGGTCCCCAGAGGACTATCTCTTCCAGAATATCCTGCAGGTAGCTACTTTTCTCAGAGACAACCTCCTTCTGCACCCAAATCTAGGGGGGCCTTTTCACCCCCTAGAAATAGTTAAGATTGCCTCTAACAGTTTGTCCCATTAGATGAAGCAGTTACATGTGGCTATCACAGCCGTATTGCTCCTAAGCTGTGGCTCTTCAGCAGCACAGCTATCAAAACTACAAAGAGTAGCCTGCGTAGCTGGATATTCCAATCAGGTAAATCATCACCCTAGAACCCATCTTCAAAAACTATCTTTGCTTTCACAGCTGTAAAAGGTTTTATTTCTTCTGATTCATAAAAGAGAGCTCTGTTAACTGACCTACAAAAAGTTCTGACTAGTCTATTTATAATTTAAAAACTAAAAAGAAATTTATTGTGATTCTAGTTGGCCAAATACACCTGTGTGCACTTTAGATTTATATACAAATTGTCCTATGTGTGCTTGTCTGTGTGTCAAATTTGCAACTAGTTATCATATGTAGTTTTTTTGTTTGAGCTCAACAATATTTTCCTTTTTTACTTTTTGGATTTTAAAAGCATTTATTTATAATTTAAATTGGTCTATAGATGTCATTAGAACTAAGGACGTGGGAAAAAAATAAAAATAAAACTATCTCATTGCTACTTCTTTCTCAATAAAATTATTAAAATATAAAAAAGAGCCTAAAAGAGTAATTAAAATCTGAAAGGGACAATATATTCTGTGAAATGGAAAATTTGTTCAATGGAAAGCAAAAACTGATAAAAGGAAAAATGATAAAAGGAAAATTTATGTTTATGCATATATGCAGAATGGTTTGGATATTTATACTACTAATTGCTTCTGGTCTCATGAAAGGAGCAGTTAATGCCTAGATTTTTTTCACTTTATTCTTATTCTTTTGTCTTTAATTTCTTACAACTTTTTGTTATTGTTAGTTTCGTTGTATTCTTTAAACATTTTTTTTTTAAATCCACTTGCAATTTTATATCCACTAACCTGAACAACTTGAAGGTAACAATATAGTACAGGAAACTTTGTTGCATTCCTATTACTTTGCTTAGTGAAATTTTGTGTCGTTTCTGATACTGTTTTTTTCTGTAACTATTTTTCACTCCTTAAAAATAATAAAACTTGGCCGGGGAGATGGCTCAGTGGAATAAGCGCTTCCTTGGCAAGCGCAAGGGCCTGAGTTCAATTTCCGGGTCCGCCAAAAAATAAATAAATAAATAAATAAATAAATAATAAAAATAAAACTCTAAATATATTTGAAGAAGTTAAAAAAAAAAATAACTAAGGACACGATTTCACTCAGGTTGCTGCCTGATCAAAATAATGTCAAAGGCGCTAGGGAGATAGCTCAGCAGCTTAAGCATTTGCCTGGCAAAATGATGTCAACATTGGTTTTACAGATGTAATCCATTCTTTTGTCTGTGTACAATAAGTGAATCTTTCATTGGTTAAAAATAATGCATGGATTATTATCTTGGTCTCATAGGTCATCAAAAATGGATCATGGGCTGGCCAGATAGCTCAGAGGACTAAAGTGCCTGCTTAGGCAGAGCGCAGCGGCTGAGGTTCGATTCCCAGCATGCTTTGCTGGCCCTGCCTCCTCGAGCGTGCAGAGACTGCAATTGAGACTGGGTGTGGTGTCACACGCCTGTAATCCCAGAACTTGGGAGCTGAAAACAGGAGAATCACTACGAGTCTGATATACATAGTGAGACCATGTAGACCCTGTACTAAATACATTTTTTAAAAAATTGCTCATAACCAGAGATAGAACTAAGAAGTCTGGGAGATCACAAGTCATTTAGATTATGGGTTATGGAGCCATCAGTATCCCTAATTTCTTTCTTTTTTGTATGTATGTGATACATGGTCTCATTATGCAGCTTGACACATGGTGATGCTCCTGTCTCAGCCTCCCCCGTGCTGGGATTACGGGCATGTGTCACCATGCCTGGTCTTGGTGGCTCAGTAGATCTAGGGACAGGGCCGGTGCAGCATGTGGTGCCAGGAATCAAATCCCTGTGCCTGTGCTTGTCTAAGCAGGGTGTAATCTGCTGAGCTATCTTGCCAGCCCAGCATCCCTAATTTCTACAGAAAGAGTAGACAAACTATAGCCTCCTAAATATAACCAACCCCTTTTACTCTTGTCTGAACCACAGGCTAAAAACTGTTTCTGTGTTGTTAAATTGTCAAAAACAAATAAGTACTCAGTACTTTGTGAGCCTGGGGCCAAAGAATCTCAAATTGGAGCCCAGTCTTGGGAAATTTAACTTGTTTTAAAATTTAAAAACTTAAAAGAGGGAAGGGGCTAAGAATTTAGTTCAGTGTAAAGGTTCTAGATTCAATCTCCAGTATCATAATACATAATACATTGTGGCACATCAAAATTGTGTGAAATTCAAATTGAGTGTCCATAAATAAAATTTTACTGAAAAAATAGTCATATATATTGATTGCAAATTGTCTACAGCACCTTTTTGACAAAAATGAATCTTCTTCTATCCCTATACTTACTATCTGGCCCTTTATAGAAAGCTTGCTAAACCCTGTTTTAAAACATCTCTTTGAAGCTGGGCCTTGCGCCTAAACCTGCATATTCCTACAACTTCTCAGAGTCCTTCGGGATATGACTGAGGAGATAAACCATGCAGGAAACAATTGAAAAAAATGAAATAAAATAAAATTAAACATCTCTTTGACATAAATAGTCATTATGATCATATAAGTGCTATAAAACAATATTTTTGCTTTTTCTCTTTCTTTTAATATAAAATATAAGACTTTTAATTTTAAAAAAAGAAAACTTAGAACCATTGGCTCTGATTTTTAAATTAAAAAGATGAAAGTTCTCTCAGTCATTTCCAATGATTCCTCCTTATTTCTAGGGGAATAAAAGGGAAGAAATGTATTTCAGGAGCTGTTTAAAACACCATGCACATGCTGAAGCATCTAGTTTTTGGCTAGAATTATAATTTGAAAATAATTATGTTTTGTTCTTTTGAGACATGGTGCCCTGTGGAGTTTAGGCTAGGCTTGAATTCACTATGTAGCCCAGGCTGGCCTCAAACACTTAGAAACATACCTTTGTCCACCTCTCAAAGTTCTGGGATTACCAGTATGTGCCACCATATCTGGCAAAAATCATAAATTTTTATTCTAGCAGAAATAGAATAAAAAGAGTGCCTAAGGTAGTGATGGAAATTTGAAAGTCACTGTCTTAATGAAATATTGTGATAAGAATCACATCATAAGTTAGAGGCAGAATGAGGTAAGAATGAACAGTTGTATAACATATTCCAAAATAATGAGGGGCATAGTTGAGTACAGTAAATACACAGCCTTTTCACATAACTAGAAACTAGTCTGAGTCAATAGGGAAGCTCTAGGAAGAACTCTCAAGATGGCCTTATGTCACCTGTCTGCAGCTACAAATCCTGTCAGCTTGGCTGCAAGTAGCTAAGATGTCACCCCAGCCACTGGCTATGCATGGCACCCACCCAGAAGTTATAAATGGTAAAATGTGTAAAACTTGACTCCTCAATGAATCCAGAGCACCTACCTCCTCCCATGATTCCCACTAATACTTACCAAGTTACATTAACAATGTACTCAGTAAAATTGGTTTCCTTTTCTGGACTCCAAGCACAAGTTAAAGTTCTATGACTGTATAAGACACATGAAATATTCTCAGGTTTAATTGGCAGAGCTAAAAAAAAAAAACACACAAACACAATGTTGTACACAATATATACTTCTAGCATTGAGTATTTTAATGAAAATAGGCTGAGCAATGCTAAATTTGTTGGCTAGTTGCTGGGTATGGTAAGTTTTCCTAATCAAATTCATGAAAAGAATCTAACACCATCTCTTCAGTTATTCTCTTTGAAGAGTTAGATTTCTATTTATTAAAAATATACTTTACATTCTTACTCAAAAGCAACATTTAAGAAGCAAAAATTAAAACACTCAACACACTAGTAGTGAAATCCTAACAATCAACTGATAGAACTACTCTGAATAGTTGGGTAATAGGTGATACAGGCATAAGAGAAAAATATTATACCACACTTCAACCTTACACATCAATAATTTTCTTTTCCTAGAAGATTGTATATTGGGGAAATATCTTCACTTGTATTTACATATCTTGTTTCTGAAAATTTCCTACTCAGTCAGAAAAGCAAATACTACTATTCAGAACAGAAAGCTGGATCCTCATGAGGTCCATAGGCAGAATTTATGAGAGTATGAAATTTAATGGGAAAATGTATATCTTCATTTTGTACTAACATATTGAGATTTAGAATTATCTATCATGAATTTAGTAGACAAAATACATTAATATTATCACTACTTGTGACTGTTACCATTAAAAATGAAAAAATATTTTCATGCTTTAGTTGCTTCAGATGCCATGAAATACAAACTATTTATTATTCTTACTCTCTATTTTAATCATTAGACATCACTATCTTAGACTTAAGTTAACATAATTATTAGGGTTTCTTACTTTGTATTAATAAATAGCATAAATTACTATATCCCATATTTGTTTATGTAATATAATGATGATTTCAATATATTTAGATTTCTGTATAATCCTATGTTATTTTATTTTTGTAATTACCAACATTGAGAAGTGGTCCACAAGTTACACCAGATGACCACAGGGTTTAAAATGCACACACACACACCCCAAGAAGAGTTTCGGACTAAGGCAATATTCAGCTCTAAGGCTCAAATAACTTTTTTTTAACTTTTGGCAAGAGGATAGTTTTAAGACAAAAGCATATTTGAGAAAAGACAACATATTGTTACTTTTACACATCAAAGCAAAGCTCTAATGCTTCCTAGGAAGGAAGTCCCTACCAAATCAGAATTAGAGGGAAAAAAAATCCATCACTTATACCAAGTAAATTCTGGAGGAAAGCAGAAGTGAATGCATAGAAGGCAGGGCACAGAGATCAGATGTCGGGGTTACTTTTCTCTCATTGCTGGGAAAAAATACCCAACACCCAAAATTAAGGAAAGATTTATTTATCTCACAGTTAGTGGAGGTTTCAGTCCATAATTGGCAGGCCCCAAGGCAGAGTGCCACATGGCAAAGGGCAGCCATTCATGGTGGCAGAAAACAGCAGAGTAAAGGCAAAAGGGAGGAGTAATGACAGCAGTGGAAGAAGCAAGCCTCTCTCTTTTCCTTATATTGCCTTCAGGCTATCTGCCCCAGGGTGAGTGTAGTGCCCACACTCATAACCCCAGCAGTACTCAGACCCATAATCCAAGCCTTGGATCATGAATTAATCACAAACTCTAGAACTATGCCCCAGTGACTGCATGAGTCTTTGAGGGACAATTACATTCAAACCATAACATTCCACCCCTGGCCCTCCAAAGATTCATGCATATCTCTTTATGCAAAGGGTATTTTAGTCCATCTGTAAGAGTTGCCAAAATCCTAACAGTTTCAGCATTGCTGAAAAGTTCAAGTTCCAAGTCTCCTCCAACATCTAAGGCAAACTCTTAGCTATGAACCCCTGTACAAATAAAAAGTTAAATACTTCCAAAATTCAACGGCACAAGAAAAACATTATCATTCCAAAACGTACAAACAGGGAAATACAAAGCATTGGGAACAAAGCTAGTCCAAAATCCAGGAGGGAAAATATTAAGTCCTGTAGTTCCATGTACAACATCTGAAGCAATCTACAGCAAACTGTGAGCTCCATGTGGTTCTACCTCTATGACATTTCTGTTGGTTGTAGCTCCCATGGCTTCTCTCTCAGCCCACTTTGCTCCCTTCTTGCAGATTTCCTAAGACAATCCATGTTCCTGGCTTTTTCAAACTTCTGTACATTAGGCTTCTCACTTTATGCTTCCCACACTGTCTTCCCAGAACACACTGCCTGGCCTCTCAGGTTTTCTTCTCAAATCTAGGTGGAAGCCTTCTTAACCTCAGAACTCCTGCATTCTGCATGCACCTAAAACCAGTGCTGTGTGGATGATGCCAAGGTCTGCTGCCAGCTGGAGCAGTAGCCAGGTTTTCTTCTCTCTTGGTTGTAGAGGTAGTGTGTGTGGATCACTGAGCACTCTGAACCTGATTCTGAGGAACAAATTCTCTATGCTACCACCATTCTGGAACCTGGTGTGGTGGCCACCACCATTCTGGAACATGGGGCTCTGCAGATTTCTCCTCAAAGCAAAGTTTTTCACCTTTGCAGTTTTTTTTAAATAATTTTATTGAGAAATGAACAGCACTTAGTTTCAAAACTGATTACTAGGACAGTTTCAACAATTAATACATTGCAGAGTGTTGTCTTAGTGGTTATTCACTGTATAAGATGCAGACATGATATCCTGCCCACAAACACTATTAGGACAAATCTTTCTATCCACTGAATTAAGAGAAAGTAGCTGTATATCTATCCTATTTTGAATATACAGATACAAAATGGTCGTTCCTTTGTATCCTTTTTTTTGTTGTTGAGTTTTGTCAGAGAAGGGTATTCCATTGTCATTTAAATATTGTAGGTGTGTGAATTCAGCAAAATATTTCAATATATTTGAGGCTGCAAAGTGTAGAGCTTGCTGCCTCCTGAGATACTCTCAGGCTATCTTTTCCATTCTCTTGATCCTTCTCAGCAATGGAGATCCTCTTGGCTCTATCTTTTCAATCCATAGCTTTATCAGTGCTTCCTTTCTGGTCAAATTCACATTTTAAATCACCCTTGACGTGAACTGCCCTTGATTATCCACACTAATCTGACTAAAAGCCCCTAACAATAGCCATGCCACTGCCTCAACATTCAACTGCCTTGAAATTTCTTCTGCCAGATTAACCAATCCACAGTGCTTAATTGCAGTTTCAGGCAAAATCTCTGGACATGAGAAAATTCAGACAAACTTTCTGCCAAGCCATAATACACATCATCTAGAGTCCAACAACCAATGCAGTCCTTCTTCCCAAAAGAAACTTTCCCAGCCTGGTCTTTATAAGCAAGATTTCTATCAACATTCTGGTCTTCAGACCTCTAACCAGAATCTCACCTAGAGAACAGCCAAAGTGTTCCAATGCTTCTTTTAGAGGCAACAGCTCCAAACCCTTCCTATCTCTTCCCATAAGCTGTTTCCAAAATCTTGGAAACCACTTGTCTCTTCCCATAAGCCGTTTCCAAAATCTTGGAAACCACTTGGTCAGGTTTAGTCACAGCAATGACCCCACTCCCCTGATACCAAATTCTATCTTGGTTATTTTTCTCTCATTGCTGGGACAAAAATACCTGACAGCCAAAATTAAAGAAAGTTTTATTTAGTGCACAGTTAGTAGAGGTTTCAGGGTTGCTGACAAAGCACTGTAAATATGCAGATGGCTCTAATGAACCATCTGGGCTAGTAAACTATTTCTCCAGGCACCACCTGCAGAAGGGCTGCAAGCCTGTAAGGTAGAGCTCACTTAGCACTCAGCCAGCATGGCACAGAAATCTGACTTGGCAGCAGGTGGCCTGGGGAACTCTGGGTGAACCCCAATGCAGCTGGCTACAACACACAAGGATTCTGAAACTTCAGGGTGAAGGGGAGACAGACTTGCGAGACTGCAGCAAGCATGGGATTATGCTGAAGAGGCATTTGTGCACAGAAGGAATTAAGACCACAAGCAAACAGCCTGGGCATAAGCCTCAAGAGCAGTTTGTAGCAGTGCAACACTGCAAAGTCTAGGTAAAGCCAGCTGTCCCATAACAGTTAGCACGGGAGAGACTGGACCGCAACAGATGGTACAGGAGAGACCAGAGGGCAGCACACAGGCTTGTTCCTGTGGACCCAGAAGCCCTTCCCAAGATGCTGAATTCCCCTGCTTGTAGGCCCAGATGCCATTTGAAGGAGGAGCAGGAAAGAGCAGGAACTCTGCAACAATGAGCTCTTACTCTAAAGAGATAGAAAGATACTAAGCCAGAAAAAACAAAAAAAGATAATGTTTAAACATGTTAGCACTGCCTGACTTTCTAACAAGTAAGGAAATGGATATCAACTAGTATAAGCATACAAACAAAGGTATTCAACTAAGACTTTAGAGTTGAAATGGAGTAATAAAGACCTGCTTTTATTTTCTCAGTAACTCACTTGTATCTTTTCAGCACTTGTCAGAAAGTTATTTTTACCATGTAACTTGGGAACAACGCTTTAAATTTTTATACATACTAAAATTGTGTCATAAAAGTACAACAAAATTTACTAAGTGGGGTGTGGCAGAGTAATAAAATCAATGCCAGGCCACTGATTATTCTTTTTGCCTGCCACCCATGACAAATTGGTCAAAGATACTATATTTTTAGTTTATTTGATTTTCTGCCCAGGGTAGTACTCTTCAAGGCCTCCCTCTTCTCTCTGTACTCTAGGTTCAGGCACAGATGTAGCATGTCCTGCTTCCATTTTTCATAATTTAATTGGGGTGGTAGTGCAGGTGGAAAGACAATGGTCAAATTGAAAAGATATTCTCAGAAAAACAGCATGTTAGAGACCTTTTTTTTCCTGAAGAGGTGCTCAAAACAATACAAAATAACACTTCCAACATTTAAATTGTCCAGTTAGTATTCTGACAATCTAAAACCTGGCAAAGTAACACTCAGTGGATAAATGGAAATAGAAGTGGATGTTTCTCAAAAGTTTCTAGTATAATCACCCTGTTTTTTCAACAAGCCTCATAGTAAAGAGTTGTGCTTGCATCTAATTTGAGAAATGTAGTCCACAACTGTTCCTCACTTCTCTT